GTGCGTGAGTCTTTATTTTCTTTTGGGGCGGGGGGAGGCGTGATCCGGGCACTCTGGCCCGGTTCACCCCGTGGTCGCCGTTTCGTTGTGATGACTGGAAAGCGGGTCCAGCGTCCCTCACATCAAGAATAAAACACAGTATTTCACAGGTATTCGAAGGAAGCAATGAATGAAGGATTCAGTATGTTGGGTATGCGGACGGAAGACTTCCTGATCGGAGTCATCGGACGTAAAGCACTAGTCGATACATAGAATACGAAGTGCATTTTCCCTTCTTTATTCCCAACAAGGCCTATTGCCCAAGGCGAGCAATGTTGAAAACTAGAGCAATAGGGGCAGGCAGACGGGTTATCGTGTCACCACTGGACATGTAGCCCCGCGCCTCCAGAGTTCCTGACCCTGGAAGAGCCAGGGCACCAGTACCACTACTGCTGATTAAGTCTCCGCACTTTTTTTTTTGTGTGTGTTCTTTTTGGGATCTTTTCCGCGTTCTTTTTTGTTTACTTTTGTGCGGGCCTCTGGAAATTCGGTCGGGGGGAATTATATGATTTTGTATCGTGAGCCAGGAGTTCGCGATTGCTCGTCGGGATTCATCGTGTCGGCGAGGCAGCCTTCGGTCCTCGTCGGGATTCATCGTCGGGACGCTGTACGTTCGTCGGGGAAGGCGGAGTGCTCCGGAGGGCAAGAAGGGGAAGGGACCCCAAGGGGAAGGCTTGTAATATTTGTATATTTGTATATTTGTTCGCATGATCGTTCTGGGAACCTGGTCATCGCTGAAAATTGCCGAAAAAAGGAAAGGGACCGTGGCCTGTATCGCCACGACGTGCGACCGCTCGGAATCGAAACACTTGTTTTCTTTTCCTTGTTGTTCTTTTTGTGGAGTCGGTGCTGTGGGAGTCCGCGGGGGCCAGGTCCCACCAGCAAAAAGGATTGGATTCAGCTCGTGAATCTGGACGTGTTTTCGGCAGAGATGCAGATAAGCCGTTCGATCTCGGTTTTCTGCATCTTTTTCGGGAACGACGTCTACATTCAGGTGTGCAATCCAGTTTTCTGTCCTAGTGGCCTCTCAGTTAATCAATGCGTGGAGGACTCGTTTCTACTACCCTACCCGTCTTCCCCTGAATAAAACCGTACGGTCCTTAGGGCTGTCTACCGCCCCGAAGTTGCTCCAAATTCAGGTGCAAGGACCGTACGTTCTATTTGGGGGAAAGAAGGTGAGGTCTGTAGATCGGCAGGCAGTGAGTGATATCGTACTGTGTCTGCTGATAACGAGTATCTTCCTTTTTTCTCTTTTCATGAAAATAGGTGCCGAAGATCTTTTTTTCTTTTTTTTCTTTTTTTTTTCACCGCCAGTGTATCATGCCAGGGGACCTTGCCCTCGTGGCAAGGTCCTATTAGTTCGGATAACTCGTTTGAGACCGTGTTTGGCAAGGAACGTCGAATCCGGGGCAAGGTCCCACTTGCGCAAATTAGGAGATTTCGCCCGTTGATCTTTGCTGTCTACGGTCAGCATCTCTTAATTCGTGCAAGTGGGACCTTGTCCCCGGTTTGACTAGACCCCTGGCCTCTATCGCCCACCTGCTGTAGCAGGTATCGCAGCTGCTGGTGGGGGGTCCAGCTCCCGCATGTTCACTCGTAGGAGGCTTGAGCACGGATGTGGGCTGCTACGGGGCTCACCGGAATACGACAGTGAAAAAAAAAAAAGAAAAGGCCTGAAAGGACGTCCTGTCCATTTAAAAGAACTAGGCTTTAAAAACCCGGTTAAGTGCGACCTTGGCCCCGGGTCGGCATTTTGCACATGTGCTTTAACACTTGCGCGCGGAACATGAAAGTGGATCGGGCTCGCGATCACACTCGTTTTTTAAGGTAGTGCCGTGGGAGCCCGCGACAGACGTGTTTGTTGTCCTTTTTGACGGTAGTGCCGTGGGAGCCCGCGACAGACGTGTTTAATACAGACTCGTAGTGCGTAGAATGCATGTAAGTGGGGGGGCGACGAGATCGAGGCCCGTTAGGATACGTTACGTTACGTTAGCGCCGTTAGGCACCGTTAGGCACTCAATGGGATGTTGTTTTAAGTTCTTTGCCAAGTTTGCCGGCAGCTGTCTATCCCTGCCCGACTGTCTTTTTATTTCTTACTTTATTTCTTACTTTATTTCTTACTTTTTTTTTTACTTTTTTTTTACTTTTTTTTTTTTGTTGAAAAGAAGCAACTGCTCCGGTGGGCGCCTCTTCTCTCTTTTTTTTTTTTCTCCCTAACGCCTTGGTCTCAACCTTCAACCCTAAGGTCGAGCCAAGAGAAGGGAGGGCAGAAAAAGCGCCTTAATTTGGACGTATTTTATGCAAAGAAACAGAGCCTTATTATGGATCTATCCAGTTCTGAATCATCGGTGTCTTGTTCTGAAAAAAAAGGGCTTGACGTATCATCTCATGAATCTCACGAACCCCATAAATTTCAACATAGTATTTTCTGTTCATCTTATTGCATCTGGATTCGAACTTGCGTCTGTACTTCAACAGTTGAGCTAGGCCCGGTGGTAAAATATTGGATTCGAACTTGCGTCTGATACACCGCGCGACACCCTCTGGGCCAGGTCTGCCCACCTCCGGCGTCAGCTGACAACCGGGTCTGGGACTGGGCCTCTGAACCCCTGGACCACCTTTATTTCATATCGAATATTGATCTTATTCAAGGTCCGTTATGTAGGTAATAGAAGCAGTGGAGGGGTCCTTTTTCAGTTCTCCCCCCCCCCCCCCCCCCCCAGCCCCTTTCCCCCGTCTTTCCCCCAAACAGAGGACTTACATCACTGTTCCTTGATTTGAACGGAGAATGTTCTTCACTGATATGCTCGGTGAGAGTACAGCTGGATGACCAGCAGAGAGGCCTAAGGTTCAGGTCGCAGGACAGAGAGGTGAGAATCCGGTGGCAAGCTGCATTCAGGCAGGGGCAATTGTGAAACTTGCTCCCCTTGGGCAGTGGTAACTACGCTAATAGTACTCTTGCAGTGTTCGGTTGTGTCATCTGTGCTGCCTGTTTTCTGTACTGGTATGAATCAATACTATGTTATCCTTCGTACCAGATCTTTTTGAAGTGTTCTTAAATGACTTGAATAAGGGATGGGATGGGGCACTCCCGCTCGAGCACGTGTCACGTCACGACTGAGCGAGTGAAAAACAGAATGTGTTTTTTTTTTCGTACGGGTAACGCATATGTATATAAGGAATAATAAATGTAGAGAATTAGGGTAAAGGAGAAGAATATCCCCTTGTACATCCAGTGGAAGTGCCACAGATATAACACCCCCTTTCAAAAAGAGAGAGGCATAGATGATCTTCGACGTATGTGCATGTCGTAGATTGGGTGTTCAGTGTCGTCTTGAAAGGTGAGAATTAAGGCTCCTGATGTTCTTTTTATATTTATGTATATAATGATGCAGGTGAGTGAAAGATAAAGCGAAATTACCGTCGTCACCTGAATACAACGCAGGCCGTTATAGCTGCATTCGGAGACGCTTTCAGTCTGGACACAGTGATAATGACCAGGTGTGCGTTGTATTAGGTTGAAGACGGTAGTTGTTGAGACCGAGTCCCACGTGCCCAAATTTCCCCTGTTCATGGCCGTTGATTGATGTTGGTAATCTGTGGCCAGGAATGGAGAAGTGGAAAATAATAGAATATACGGTTAAGTGGAGGGAGGCACGTGGGTCATACTATGGTACCATGACTTGCGAGAGTACCGGACTTGAAAGATACCTTGTATACATTCATTATCAGGGTGTGTGACATTCATGTTCGGGGGNAGGCGGTAGTAATTGTCTTTTGCTGTTTTATTTCTCTTTCCATTTGTTTTTGTGTTTGGTTTCTTCAATCGAGTTGCGCTTTTGGATCCCTTCGTTCAAGTCTTGCTTGTTTCCCTGGGGACTATCTGGTTCTTTCTCTGTTCGGTTCTTATCTGGTTTTCTTCCCTGGGACTATCTGGGACTCTCCATTCGGTTCTTCATCTGGTGATGCTCCTACCTGTCGGCGCTGTCGCTGATGCACGTCGTGCGGGGCAAGTTGTGTAAGGAATGCCCAAATGCCCTATGGATGTTCTTTGATTCAGAATCTCAGATGTTCTTTACATAATATTTTTGCTTTACATAATATATTTGCTGTGGAAAAGTTAATCCCATGACGTCCACATGAGGAAGTGATTCGAATTCCGGTCTTTTCATTTCAAACTCGAAAGGCATTTTCAATTGAGTAATATATGGAGAAGGTATTTTACTATTTTCGATTGATTAATATATGGAGAAGGCATTTTCGACTGCCATCTTAGGGCGTATACTCACACAATTGAATTTTCTTGACTGAAATTGGAATCTGGCTGTAAATGCGGTGCAGTACATCCAGGGAAATTCAAGTGTGAGTATACAATTTTATTCATGATAGCTCCAAGCTTGGCAATACAAGCCGCCTCCTGTAATTCTCATCCTTTTCTTTTCTTTTCTTTTTTCCTTTTCAGTTTTGTTTTGGTGTTTCCCCAGCCTCCTCGTACTCTTTTTAAATTCTTCCATTTTCTGTCTGTTTTCTTCTTGTTTCCCTCTCCCCCTTGGTTGTTACTGTATCGTTTGTGATCTCTTGTGTCCGAGTCCCCTTCCTGGCTTTTTCTTTGATGGCAGAACCATTGGGCCTTGCTCCGCTACACAACATTGTGCATGTATCTGGAGGTCGTATTTGTCCCCAACATTGTGCATGTATCTGGAGGTCGTATTTGTCCCGATGCACTCAAAATGTTGGACTCGGACGAATGCACCTGGTCTAGTAAGGGCTCTGAATGTGTGTAGAATGTTGAGCAGTGGAGCAAGGCCAATTGCCGTGTGTGTGTGTGTGTGTGTGTGTGTGTGTGTGTGCGCACATGCGTGAATGTCGAATTTCGGAGTTGGGAATGTTTTCGAAGAACAACGAACAGGAATAAATCAAGTCTTTGTATTTTGTTCTCGTATCGTCTTGGGACATTGCAGGCCTCATGGACAGCACGCTGTTGTCCTCTCTGAGGATGCCCACAAGCACTTAGGAACGATCCACACGGAGAGGGAGGAGTCGAGCCGCACAAACAATAGCAGCGCTCGTCAGATCTACCTGACTTTCCCAGCAGACAGCACATTCACGGAGGACGATGTGTCCGCATACTTCAGGTACGTTCTTGTCACCTTCTCTCTCTCTCTCTCTTGTAGCGGTTTCTAGATTTATGTGTGTCACCCTTCGATATGCAGGGGCAGATGCATTCCGATCTTCTCTATTTTATTTTATTTTTTTGAAAGCCTCGGCCCTCTAGAGGGGCGATAAGAATGTCCTCCTCTAGTGGATCCTTCGTTGGCTGCTCCGGTCTACTGCTTGTGCGGGTCATCTGCTGGGAATCGCGCCCAGCGTCATACAATAACTTTCCATGACACTTACCGGGGCCATTACGCGGCTTCAACCAAGAAAAACATTTCTGGCGCAAAGAGACTGCCTGAGCCTGTACATATTCTCCGCAAAAGGTCGAGACTTCCTGAGCCTGTGGCCAGTACCCTGTCAAAATAGCCCTTAAGCTCCATGGCCATGGCGGGTGGAGCACCATTTTCCTCCAACCTATGTCCCACCATCGCCAAGTAAGTTGTGCTGTGGGAAATTGCGTGAACGCGTGCTCAGTGGTCTCTGCCCACCCACCTTTGTGGCTTGAAGGTGCTGAGGCATCGTGGACACCAGGGCAGGGGCATGCTGATCTTTCATTTTCTCTATCTTGATCCAACTTTGACGTTTGTGATCTTCCGAAGGATGTGAGACTCAGTTTTCTGAAGGACATGTTTTCCGATTGGACGTCCTTTTCTTAGTGGCCTTAACAGGACTACCGGCAAAATTATTGAGCTCTTACTGTGTACACAGGTAAGAGCCAGGCTTAGCTTCAGGTGAACTGGTCCTGAGAGGTTGAATCCTTATGGATAAAATGACTCTGAATTACCCAGGGCGGTCAGTTGGTTGATGTTACCTCAACTTGAAGCCGTTACCCTTTTCAATAAAGAAAAAAGCGAAGCGAGAGCGCGGAATCAGCAGTTGTGAGTTGCAGCCGGAAATAATTTTGGGAACTTGGGGACAAAGAAATGATGCCCGAAGTGGAGAGAGAAGAGGAAGTGTCTGGACGTTGTACTCTAGCTCCACTTCCCACCGAATGTGAAATATAATGGCTCTTTTCGCAAATGGATGTAGTGTGTACGCATATGTTTGTAATGGCACTCGTCTGGTGGCGGGTACAACCCACCGGCCCAATAGGCCTTGAAACGTAGGGCTGGACCAACGTGATATGGAAAAGATGGGCATGGGGATTGCTGTGTCCATACGTCGGTGTGCTGATCTCAGAGATTTGGAAGAAACTATTGATGGGAAAGCTCTCGGACATATGAATCAGATGCGAAAGAAGTTGGACATTTCAATGCAAAGAAACTGTTAGACATTTTATGTGATAGTGCGACGACTCGAGTGGATATGTGTGAAGTATGATACAGTGATTCAGAGGAACGTGTGATTTATGGGCCTTCTGAAATGACTCGAGAATTTCGTTACTTGGGTCCCTGGAGTCTGCAGATGGATGGAACGAAAACAAAAAAAAACGTGATGCCGGGCGAGAAGAGAGCGTGAAATTTAGGAACAAAAATTCACTGGAGTTGAACCGCCTACTTGTGGTGCTCTTTTCGCAGACGTCTTTGGCATGTTGTGACTGTTGTTTATGGCCAGGCTGTGGAGCTCGGAAATGTGATTATCGCTATGTGCATGTAAAGAACAGGCAGAGACAGATGGCCTTAAAAGTTTCTGGCTGCTGGTGGAGTGCAGCAGGACCCCTGGCAGAGGGTTACTGCGAGGGGATATGCAATGGTGTGAATGCAGTGCCGTTTTTGTTCTTGCAAGGCAATGGCAATAGCTGGGAAGGGCGTGGCTGGCTACCTTGGGGCGCAATGGACATTTGAGGAGCGGGTGCAGAGGCTCTCTGAAAGTAATCTGGGTGGGGAAGGTGGAGAGAGGGAATGGGGAGACTGCGCCCTGGTCTTGTTGGCAATGCGCATTCTGCGATGTACGGTTGATTATGATGCTGTGCACAAACAGAGGGGATCAGCGGCGTTTGGAAAAATGAAGTATTTCTTTGTGCTTTCCACCTCTTCACAGCAATACCCTTGCTGCCAGCGGCTCCCACATCCATGGCAGTCGATGATCGACAACCAGTTTCAGCCTGATCTTCGTCTAAGCTGGCATTCCCTTTGCCAAGTTCGACTGTCTGCATCTCTCTCTCTCTCTCTCTCTCTCTCTCTCTCTCTCTCTCCTTTCGTCTTGTTTTTTCGTTTTCTTCCTCTGTTGGTTGCACTATCTGATCAGTATTGCTCAATGTCGTGTTTTTGTGCTGGGTGTTGCTGCGTGACAGGGGTTATGGCCCAGTGCAAGATGTGCGCATCCCTTTTCAGCAGAAACGGATGTTCGGATTTGTGACATTTCAGTATGCAAGCACAGTGAAGCTTATTCTGTCAGAGAGAAATCCCCATTTCATCTGTAACGCTCGGGTGCTGGTCAAACCGTACCGAGAGAAGAAACAACTGGAGAGGTAGGTCTCCGAGGCGGTTACCCGAGTTTGTCAGGCTTTGCCAATGCATTACCCTATTTTTTGGATCGAGCAAGTCACGAGTTCAAACTTGCGATTGCCTACCATCTTTCTACTGAGCTAGCACTTTCTATGTTACTTTTATGGCGACGGCTTTGTGGGTGGATTTCCATCTGTCGATCTCATTGTGCATCGTCTTGTGGATCAGGCAGGGTATGTCTAAGAGCTATCCTGGATGCACTTGGCCGCTGGTGGGTCGGGGCTTCGGATTCAAGAGCTAGCATCTGCCTCGTTATTCTCTCTTTTCTTCCCGGCCGCAGTGTCCGTGGGGTAGAAATGAAATTGTTCTTGCTACCACCCGTTGGTTGTAACAGACCTGCACATGGTCTACCAGATTCAAGGGTAAACGGATAGCTTCTTTTTCTTCCCCCCCCCCCCCCCCTTCCCCTCCCCTTTCCACGTAGCCGGTGCTGTGTTCTGCTTTCCGTTGTCGAGTTTAATAGCAAAGGGGAGGGTAACGGTTTACTGAGCTTTACTCTTTTTTTTTTTTTGTGTGTGTCATCCTTGAAAGCGTAGGGGCCATGCTAATCTTCTCTGTATCGTTCCAATTTTAACGGATGTCCCGAAGGACGAGGGTTACCGTCACGGTTTGCTAATAACTATAGATGGAGGAGATGTGGGTGGGACTGTTAGAAAACGAGGATATTAGGTACTAGGTTGGAACCAGGCCTTTCCCAGCACGTGCTGCTCCCCACGAATAGACTGGAGCATTTGTTTGAAAAAAAAAACAAAAAAACAAAAAAGGGTTGGGACCAGGCCTAACTCTTGCTACGTTTTTGTTCTGTGCCTGGTTGAACGTGGCCTATTGTTCTTATAACTAACTGGGTTCATGCTCTCCATGCACGAACACAGCACCAGTGGGACCTGCCCCTTGTGAACTCTGTTTGATGATGGTCCTTGGGGCTGAACCCAGCATGGAACCAGCGTCCCGGTTAGGGCAATTCCTTATTCCTTAACTCGTGCTATGTTTGATCTGTGCTTGCTTGGACATGCATTGGCCCATTTCACAACTGGGTTCATGCTCTGCATGCACAAACACAGCACCAGTGGGACCTTCCCTTTTTGAACTTGTTCCAAAGGGGAGTTTCTCTTCTGTTGGGGGGATGGTTCTTGTTGGGCCGAAGCTTGCATGGTTGTTCGAGCGAGGACAACATGGGAACCAACTTAGCTTAAGAAATTCCAGACATAAACATTACCCGTACCTGGACCAAATGCATCCAGGTGCACTGCATTGCATTTGGACCGTTACACACTTTTTTCTGGCATACATAAATGGGCTGTTCTTGTCCTTCACACCTTTTATCTTTTCATGCCCAACTTCTTGCTGGTCATACTTTGTCAGGCCCCATTTGTTAAAGGCAAGCAAACACACACTACAGGTAAGCTATTGGCCCTCGCTCCAGTGCAGTAGCTTTCGATATGCACAAAAGGTGAAGATCATGGCGGTGTATCTAGTGGAAGATGCACTCTCGTCTTGCACATTTTGAGAGCAGCGGAGTGAGGCTCATTAGATCCATCCCCTGCTGTGGAGATGGCTTTGCAAGAACCTAACACAAGGCTGCTCTCAGACTGTGTCAGCCGCCCAGATTCTTCCTCTTGGACCGTTGATAAGGAGGATAGCAGGCAGGTTACTCGAGTGTCGGGTAAGAAGCGTTTCCTGCCGGGGTCCATGATTGTGTTTGTAAACGTTCATTGCAGGTTTACCACCGAGGAAAAGACTAGCTAGCATGCGCCTTGATTGATAGATGCCCACGTGATTGGTCGCGTTATTCACCGGCTACCTTTGTCTGTTCGGACAGGAACCGGCTATTCTGTCCCTACCTTCTTCCGCTGAACACAACGCACCCTCATTTTGGCCGTAACTGGCCTGAAATGTAGCTTGTATACCTTCATTTTTAGGGTGCGTTATGCTCAGGGGAAGACGGTAGCCTAAATGAAAACGGATAGTAACCATCCGGTAGCTATATCAGCAGTGGTACAGGATAGAGAAGGAAAACGATCCCCCCAGGCATGGGCCTGTCTTCCGGTGCGTGAGTGCGTACATCCGCTAGGACCATCTTCGATCCGCCTGACAATAATGACAGCCTACTGGAGAGGATGTAGTTGACCAGAATCATCCTCGCACTCGCTAGGACTGTCTGTGATGCGGCTGACAATAATGACATCCCACTGGATGTACTTTACCAGAATCATCATCCTCGCGTTATCTTTGATGCATCGGACAAAAGTGGAAGCGTGCGTAGTCTCGCATTGCATAATCTCCATCACTGCGGCCTATGCCGTTGCGAGGGCGGCATTGGCACACAACTGTGTCTTGGGCGGGTCCTCTAGGCGCTTGGTTTCCCTTGGGTCTGGTGGTGCCATGTGTGCGGTTCTCGGTAGCTATTGTGTGCTTAATTAAGACGTTTTGGAGAAAGGGATGGTAGGTATCTATAGGTCCTCTTGGCGTTATGTAGGAGATAACCGATTGGTTATCATAGCATATGGTGTGCTTTTCCCCCAGTCAGTTAGTTGACCGTTATGTTGCCACGTTTGCTCTGGTGGAGGCTCTCTGACAAACTGAACGGCTGATCAGTGGAGAATGGTGTGTTTTTGATGAATGATGACGAAGATAGGATCATGACGATGCTCAGCGCTGGTGATAGGAAAGAGGTGGTGCTCTTCCTTCAGGTGTTTTATTGTGTTGGGGGGGGGGGGGGGGGGGGGGGGGGGGGGGGGGGGGGGGGGGGGGGGGGGGGGGGGGGGGGGGGGGGGGGGGGGGGGGGGGGGGGGGGGGGGGGGGCGAAGGGCCCGGAGGTGTCAGAGGAGGAAAAGCTGTGGAGGTACCTGCTCGTGTGCTCAGATAACAGCAGGCACATTCTGCGTGCAGAACTTGTTTTCCTGAACATGGACTACAACGAGGTCAGATACGTTTGTGATTGTTGGACTGCCTGTGGAAGGTTGACCCAGCTTCAGTGATCTGGAATATCTGAATATATGTTATTAAATACAATCAGTACAATGTCATGGGATTGACAAGTATATTCCCCCTGAGCTCGAATTTGAACGGATGGTCATTATATCTGTACTTGGTGTAGCTGGCGGCCTAGATGCAGCTGTAATGACCATGCGGTGTATTCTGGGGAAGATGGTAGGCTCAAGTGTGGCCATAGCATGCAGTTGGCACGCGATTCGGATTGTTTTACAAAATCATGGACGTTTCTTGCTTTACAGAAGTGCTCGGAAATCACCACTATGTGCTTTACCCCCCCCCAAGAAGCAAACCAGTTGTGACTCGACGTTTCGATGGCCGTGGATGCTGTGTGCATGAGCCATTGGGCCTCCTTCACATAGTTGGATGGGTGAAAGAGGCAAAGAGCTGGACGAAACGTTGATTTGGCAGCATTAGGAAGTAAGATAAACCGTGCTGCAGTGTGATGTGCACGTTGGATATTGTAGCAATTCATCTCGGGCTGACTAGAACCTAGACCTTTCTGAGAACTGTCAGTATGTACTATTAATAGGCATGGCAGCTAGTACGGGCATGTGGCGGCGATCTGCTAAAGAATCTGACAGAAAAGAAGAGAAAATCAAAGTGGAATGGATTGTTGTTCGGGATGTCCGTTAAAATTGGAACGATACATAGAAGATTAGCATGGCCCCAGCAGGAAAGATGACACGTATAAATCGAGACAACTCTCCAAACTAGAAAAAAAAAGAAAAAAAAAAAGAAAGAGGGAAAGAGAAAAAAGAAAGTCGAGTGGATAGCACTGGATCCGAAACGATGGAAGTAAAAGGACGGAGGAAAAAAGGGGGAACGACTGAGGACTTGTAAATGTGTTAAAAAAACGAAGAGAGTTGGTGAAGCGAGGTTGTGAAACCGCGTTAAAGTGAAGAACAGCAGGAAAACGGAAACCACGGAAAAAGGTAGTGGGGCCCTTGGGGAGCAATGGTGGGACAGTGCAGTCTGTAGTGATTGGCTGCCTAGACAGACCGGCCCCACTGATGCTGTGTACTTGCCGAAGAGCCACAAATTTGTGTGTAATTGAACAGGCTTTAGATTGTCATTACAGAAGTGGCTTTGGTGGGGCCTGACTGTTCTGAATCCGATCCTTTTTTCTTCTTAAGTGCCCACAGGCTATGGTCCAGTGGGTCGCAGTGGGGCAATTGGTTTTCATACGTGAGGTTGGCAGGTTTTGTATGCGGAGAAAGGATGGCGGGGAGGGAGGAGGGAAGGAGGGGGTACCGTTGCATATTTGTAGCATATCTGGTGTTGGTTAGACCCCTCCCTCCTCCACCCCAACACCGGCCTCCCCACCCACCAACCCCTCTGCCCCCAAAACGAAGCTCAGCTGTTGAGATGTAGTCACTCGCAGTTGGAGTAAGTGGCCCACTAGAGCTTGCAGGCGCCCATGCATCATGCACGCGAACAAGTCTGCCGGTCAATCGACACCCTGGACAGCAAAAGTTCTACAGGGCTTTCAGATTCGTGGCTTTCTTTTTTTTTTACCTGATTAGGGTAAAAGCTTTCTGTTCCGTTGTAAATTTTTTGCGGTAACCTGGTTAGGCATGCAAGTGGACCTGGACGTTTGCATGATGCAGGGGTGCGTGAGCTGCACCTGGGCTTGCAGAGGACCACGTGCATTCTGACAAATTTTGCCTTTCCGAAAATGCAAACGAGCTTTTCAGACAGATGTCTATGGACGAGATGACGCCAGTGCAGAAGATGTATGTTGAGCTTATAACAACTGTACGGAGAGCTTTCCCAAAAAAAAGAAAGAACCTACAGCGCCAAAATAAAATGAGACATGGTACAGCGGCAAGAACAAATTGAGACAAGGTTTAAAGCTGCAGGAAAAAAAACGAGCTCCGTTTTTCTTACGAGTTTAAGTGATATGTGACCGGTTTGGTATTTGTATTGTAAAAGAGAAGGGTACTGTCATCTCGTTGTCCACCCCGGTGAT